CCCTCTAACAAGTGTAAATTGGCACGGCTCCGTCTATGTCTGCATCCCTCTACCGTCTAATTCTGTATCCCTGTACCGTCAACTTCTGTGTCCCTCTACTGCCTACTCAATTATCCTCTACCGTCTTCTTCTGTATCAAATGTTATATTTGGGAAAACACTTTCTTAGTAAAGTATATATTTTCGTACTTTTTGGGGTTGAGTCCCTTCCTGGATTCGAATCCACATGCCAGTGGTAGAGCGTCCGCCCGGAGAGCGGAAGGCCTGGGATTTGACCCCCGGCCGCGTCATACCAAAAGACGTTAAAAAGATGGTACTTGTAGTTACCCGGTCTGGCGGTCGGCATTAAGGGGCTAAAACTAGGACAGGTCGGCTCGGAGTCAGTATGCTGTGTCTGAATGCGTTATGGTATCTCAGTGAGCTAGCACTTTAAATCGGCATCAGTCCGGATTAGTACATACAGCCACACACACAGATACACGTGCATGCATTGTGTGAGTGCAATAATCTTGGACGCGACGTTAAACCCCATTTCACCTTACCTCACATCGGCCGTGGGAGCCGTGCCAATTTACACTTGTTAGAGGGGTACTCAAAGTACGTTGGACTTTTGTGGAAGCCTCGGTTGCTGAGTGGGTTAGATCGCTGTCTGTGTGTGCTGGCGATAACGTGCCTCACTCTGGCAGTGTTGGTTCGGGACGGGACTCATCCCACACAAGGACGAGAATCTGTATTTTACTAAAAAAGAGTTATCCCAAATATGACATTTGTTACATTTGACCAATTTCCAAATGGCATCATGTGTTCATAGCTTTCGGCCATGGGAGCCGTGCCAATTTACGCTTGTCAGAGGGGTACTCAAAGTACGTGATCTAGACTGCCAGTTGTTGGGCTTTCAATTTTTGTGGAAGTCTCGGTGGCTGAGTGGGATAGATCGCTGACTTTGTGTGCTGGCGATTAGGTACCTCACTCCGGACTGTGAGTGAGTGAGTGTGGTTTAACGCCGCTTTAAGCAATATTCCAGCAATATCACGGTAGAGGGCGGTAGTGCGATAATTGAGAAGTGCTAGAGGGATATAGAAGAAGGCGGTAGTGAGATACAGAATTAGGCAGTAGTGGGATGCATAATTAGACGGTAGAGGGATACAGACATGGACAGTAGACGGATATAGAAGTAGACGGTAGCGGGAAACAGAAGTAGATGGTAGAGGATAATTAAGTGGATGTTAGAGAGATACAAAAGTAGACGGTAGAGGATAATTAAGTAGGCAGTAGAGGGATACAGAAGTAAACTGTAGAGGATACAGACGTAGACATTAAAGGATAATTAAGTATGCAGTAGAGGATACAGAAGTAGACGGTAAAGGATAATTAAGTAGGTAGTAGAGGGATACAGAAATATACGGTAGAGCATAATTAAGTACGTAGTAGGGGGATACAGAAATAGACGGTAGAGGATAATTAAACAGACGGCAGGGGGATGAAGAAATAGACGGAAGGGGGTAATTAAGTAGGCAGTAAGTGTTAACGTGTGCCTCACTAGGAAAATGCAGGATTCTTTAATGAAGAATATAACTATAACAAAATGATTTACACCAAAGAGCGATTCACATAAAAGACCAGTAATGCAATGATTAATTTTCAAATTAGTTAAAGGTTTCAGTCCCCAATATATCCGATGGTAAGGTACCCATAATATATTTCATTACTGGTTTGCCTCTTACGCACTGTGGATTCTGTTACAGCGATGTTTGCAACTGATTATTCGTTTACCTGAACAAATGAACAGTCTTAGCAATGTGTGAAACGTGGCGGCATAGGTGCCCCTGTCGTCTCGGACGCCGCAGTTCGCGGTGTATGTATTATACATGCAGCATACATGATTTGTGCTCCTTGGTTTCACAAGAAACAGTAAACATCTCAGATTTGTAAACATCTGAGACATTCAGATGTTATTGTTAATCATTGTTGAGAGAATTAGATATGATAAAACGGGTCGCACAACACTGTCATACAGTCTTGCAAACACGTTAAAGTGCATATCACCAAAAGAATATGATTATAGCTGGGAAAACGCAGTGTTCGGGAAGCAAAATTAACCAATTCCCTCGCAGCATAACGTAGATCACAGATTACATGTAACCATCGCCCTAGGTAACGGTAGCTATCAGCGTCGGCGATTACCATGTGGTCACAGTGGAAAGTCCTCTTTGTATGTTGACGCACGCTTCTCACCCTGAAATGTACAACATTTACTCAGCAAAACGTTTTAATCAGCATAGAGCAGAATGGTAACGTGCATGTCGTCAATCTGGATCACACAACTATAAAGTTAGAACATGGTCGAGACAATTTCTTCCTGTTCTGAATCCGCTCTGTTCGTCAGCACGAATACCCTGGGCTTCGAGGTATTTGCATAGCCTCTGATTTATGACGTCAGCATATATCATGGAGGGGATGGAGTGTTTGGTAAGGGGCCTGCAGATCACTGGGTCACTGTCCTGACCTTCCTGAGGGATTGGTTAAATCTTTCATTAAATTCCGACACACTTCCCGTCTCGAGGCTATGGGAGATAACTCTGTACAGGAGTTGCCTTACCAACTTTGGCTCTGCATATGACATGCTCCACCTCGTCTCTCGTAAAGGTGTTAAGAACATGTATAAAACCCACCTCATCCACAATCTTCGATTAAAGGCTAAATGTGCCTCATCAAAATCACTATTATCCTGCTTGGGATTATATAACGATCTATGGTCATCTTCAAACTTTCTCAGGACAGTGTCTGTATCAGCACGAATCGTTCCATCCGTATCAACAATTTCCATTGGCATAAAACTCTTTCTCACATTACCAGTTCCTGTTTTCCCCAATTCTCTCCAAATGTTTTTGTTTCCGTCAGTTAATAACTTGATAATCTATCCTTCTTCTTCTGTTTATATTCTCTCATGGATTTCTTCAAACCTCTGTCGAATTATCTTCATTGTTCACAGAAGTCTTGTTTAAGTTTGCTCTTTTCATATTTATTCCCTTTACATTTCAACCAGGCTTTCTTTTCTTGCACACAACTGAAAACATACACTGCAGGTTATCGTTCCAGTACGATTTTTACTATTGTGCTTGCTCTTCTATGCATATGGTCGGATGTATCCAGCTTTACTCAGCAGTTTATCACTCATCTCACTATCAACTAAAGTCGCAATAGCAGCGTAGGTCAGATTAACGTCATTTACATTCAAAGCACGGTCTAAAGGGGCTAAACATTGTTGTGCTTTGTCACAAGTATCCCAGTCACTAAAAAAGTTACCAGGCACTTTAGAAGTGTCACACCGCCTTTCTGTTCTGGTCTGATCTTCCTCGAAGCTCGATATATCAGCCTCAATTCTAATGGTCCATTCAAAAGCACTGTGACCGGAGATCTTACCGCAAGGCATAATGTTGTGTTTACTCATAATATTGGAACCTGAAAGTCTTTACAGTAAGGAATCTGTTCATATGGGACTACTACATAATCTACAACAGGTCTGTAAATAAACATGTGTAAAAAAATATTGATAACCAAGTCTACTGTTCAAACATACTCATGTTTCATTTGGTAAGAAAGTATATAAACACATCACCGTATCCATTCTAAGTTTAATCAATAACTGAACGTGGTATTTCCTCATGTTTTTTATTGTTGAGCTTGGTTTCCTAAAGATTTAAAATTGCTAAATTGAACATTTAAAACCTAATGCTACACAGGTAAACCCTAGCTCTACACTGAACCATTTGCTTTTCTCTTCACTCACTCGCTCACTCACTGACTTTCAAACTGATCGAAATACATGCAACTGCAGTAACTGTCTTTGTTATTGAAACCTATTCGGGCTTTTTAGAATCGTATGAAGAATTTTAGCAATATCGTTTGAACGATCATTTAAACACACAAATCTATTCAAAGCGGAGTTATATCCACGTCACTCATTACGCTTTAGAAGTCCACTGACCACGGTAACATGCGGATCATTTTGTACCGACACAAGAAACATAAAATGATTGCAAACAGGTGCTAAGTATGTCAATCCTTTAAAACAGCAGCTGCGTACATTACTAGCATTTGCGTTGATAAAGGCGCGACAGCTGATTGAAAACAGCCTGTGGGATGTTGTTCCAAATGTCAACCAAAGATTACCCTAAACTGAGATAGCGTTGCGGACTGGTCCTGGTCCTGTCGTAGACGTCGGCCTTTCTCATCCCAGACATGTTCTGTGTGGGAAGGGTCTGGAGAAACAGCCGGCCATGGCAGTACAGTTGTGTTAAATTCGCTCCAAAAGTCTATTACAACACGTGCAACATGTGGGTGGGCATAATCCTGCTGCAACTTTATACCCTGCATTTGCACAAATGGAAGAACATGATATTGTATGCCATTTAAATTGCTATCAACAACGATGTGTTTAGTTGTGTTGTTGTGATGCCTCCCCATTACACTTCCACCCCCAAACTGACGACGTTGAGTTACGAAAGCGTCGCTGAATGGTTCTCCTGGATGCATGTCGACCCAGAGAGCTGTCCAGATGAATCCTGGACTCTTATGTGAACAGTATACTGTCCCAGTCTTATCGTCAGAACCTCAAATGATGCTGCACCATGCTAGGCAAGGAAGTCTCCAAGGTAGTGTTGAGTTTCGATGAACATTCAAATGTCTGGCAACTTCGTTTCGGCTGTACCCACAACGCGTAGACGTGAATTTTCTTCAAGCTGTGGTATTGCGTAAGCATTATTTATGGTTAAACGAAAGTGTTTGTTTTTTTCATGAGCACCTGATAGCTAAACAATCATTGTGTGTTGTTCACATGAAAAAAAGCATATATGTTAGTATCTGGCTCCCATCAAAAACGCAAACTTCCAAATTGTGCGCCGTGCATTAACATGAATGTCTTGAAGAATATTGAAAAATGCATTTTGTAATTTCAGAATAAATTTATTTTCTTTGCACTTCATATGAAATACAGTTTCCTTTTTCCGTTCGTGTATATTGAGTTTATATGTACAATAATGATTCTGAAGTATATGTCTTTGTCATAATCATTGAGCTTGGACAAAATCACTTCTTGTACGTGTGTCGTGCTATCCAAAACACTGACTTCGAACATAGGAAAAGACTATTGAACCAATAATATTATATTAAATGTGTTGATATATAAATGTGTCACACATCAAGTCAGAATTTCCAGTTTTCATGAAATACAGACAACATTTTCTCCTAAGGTATTCTGGAAAATTACAGCCGACCTCACTTTCCAAAGTGACGTTAAGTTACAGTCGTTGGGATTCCGGGTTAGAATTTGTCCCCAGCAACCTATGCTGGTTGTAAGATATGACTAAATCGATCGACTATTTAGGTTTGGTGACTTCATGATTGTGTGTCATCGTACCACAACGGTGTGAATTGTTGCTCACAATATCAATCGCTGGATTCTCGGGTCCAGACTCGGCTATTCACAGACCACCATCATATAGCTGTTTTATTGCTCAATGTGGCGACAAGTAACAAGCAAACAAATCCCACTCATGAATTCGAAGATTAAGAAATTCAACACTGACCACGGTAACACTGGCATCATTTTGTACCGACGAAGGACTCATCACAACAGGGATAACATTTGATTAATCCTTTAACACAGTGGCTGTGTACGTCACAGAAACATTTGCATCTGACATTTACAGATGAGCCTGTATTAAGAATAGTTTTACAATTATGGGAAAGTTAGAATCATGGCATTATCTACGTCACTGAGAACAATACGAATATAATAACACCTAATATTATTGCAAATACAGTTAAATGTGTTGATATGTAAATGTGTCACACATCATTGCAGAATTTCAAAACATCCTTGATAAATATCTAAATACAGTCGACAAGTAGACTGAAATATGTCATCCGGTTCATTGGTTTGTCTATCCGAATAATTGGACGCCGGGTAAGGTTTGGAAAACGACGAATCTCACTGTGGTCGTTTTCTGAGGAATCTGTTCAGCGCACGTGGCACAACACAACAGCAGCTGGAATGCTGCGTAGGTCGCGCATTTCGACGCTTGACAACCATACCCCGGACGATCCCCTTGAGGACACTTGGCTGTGGAAACAAACGTGTGGGCAAAATACAGCATAGGAGAACATGCACATGGTTATAATGGCTTGTTTGTTGTTTAACGCCGCATTCTGCTTTATTCCAGCTGGATACACGCAGTCTTAAAATAATGGTGCCTGAGCAGACAATCCAGTGTTTGACATCATGAGCATAGATCCACGCGATGGCATGTATCTAGCAAATCAGCGAGCCTGACCACCCGATCTCGCTAGTTGACTCTAAGGACAAGCATGTGTTTCTGAAGACCAATTCTGACCCGGGTCTTCATGAGGGACATAGCTTGTTTTAATGCTGATTTGGGTCTCGTTTACATGCAATAACAAATCAAGGTGCCAAAAGATAATATCTAAATCTCACCAGCACCCTGGTGTAGTGACAGCCAAGACAGTGACCTCTTATGATTTAGGAATGGTGAAAATTGATCATCATTATTTTTACATTCTGGCGATAAGATTTCCATTGTCAATAAATGGCGTCCTTTCAACATTGCATATAGAAGGAGCTGCGTTTCCGCATAACTGCGGGCAGTTCCAAACTAAGTACCTGTCTTTGCAGTCTAGGTGAAACCATAGAGGAGGAAATAGCCGTTATCGACCTTAAAGACGACAAAAGGTGATATAACATTGCCAGGCGTATGGGAGTAGAGACGACAGACATATTCGGGACGTTTCTGTGGGACTTATTTCATATTCGTCGCTACTATCATCTTTCCTTCACCAACAAGAAGACTCACAACCCGTTCGATGGCCGCCATGCATCGAAACGGCGAAAAGCTAATCAGAGTACGCGTAAGGATAGGGGACGCCCACCAACATAAGAATATTTAGATTATTTTGGCAATATGCATCTGTTTAATAAATGTAGAAAAAGCTCATTTTCAGTTCAACACTACTATTGTATGCGTGGAAGCGGCTCAATTGACTACCATATCATTTCAATGGAGCTATAACTAGACTTGGATTCCCCCAAACTAGATTCAGTATAAAAGAACGTATAAGTTAAAAAACGTTTTAAAGTAATTAACTAATTATCGATATCCAAACAAATTATTCACGTACATCTTTAACTCTCGTTATGATATTGTGTTGCGGACATTTTAGTCCATTTGCTATGGTCACAAATGTGTTCGTACGATAATAAGATAGCTAAGCTTCAGTGAAAGCAATAAAGACATAAGCAATTTTCATTCTTTAGATAAATAAACTATATGTTGTACCGATTTTGTAAAGTGAACAGAATATAGCTATTGTTAAAACAGATGGCCGCATTTTCTCAGCTTTCCGCAGATCATATAAAAATCATTCAGGTGTAAGGTCATATTAGCTGAGTTAGACATATGTGACAAATGATAGCTTTTATTTTAAAGTTTATTTATAGGTGTAATTTCCAGTGCATACATGATGCAGTCCAGTACACAAGGAAAGTGACATCTTCCTATCATGGATGTTTATCACAGTGCACTAAATGTATCTTGTCTCAGACATAATCGAGTTATTACCTGATTTTGCTGGAGCTGCAGCATTGGAGACACACACCCCACGTTCACACCACTGCAAAAGAACGTTTAAAGTTTAAACAGTCAACGTGTCACGTCAACCCTAACGTTAGGTCGCATCAGAAAAATGCAGAGCAGATAATAGCTGCGGTAAAACAGATTGCCGTTACCAGTGGGCTTCAAGAAAGAATGTCAGAAGTCACTCTCTGCATACTAACTGCAGAATTGTTTTACAGGCATTACTTTGGAGTTGGCGGATGACAAAGTAGACACAACGTCTTTAATACTGTAAAGTTCAAGAAGTACCAATCCGCCAAACTCCTTCTCCAACATAAACCCCTCCTCAAACAACTAAAAGACAACTTTGAAATTAGTAAGGTACTTCACCACCAACTCTCCGTCAATCACCCCCAACTACCCTATGCCAGAGCCACCATCAAAATCCACATGAACCCTCCTAATGCCCGTCTACATGTGTTTCGCGAGACACTGTCTTCTACAACACAGCCTCACCTCACCTCACCAGAACCCTTGACCCCTTTGGAAAATCAGCTGACTCCTTCATCTCTGACTCCACGGGCTTCTGTTTCAAAATGGAAAACATCTCCAACCCAGATCACATCATCAGTTACGACGTAGTTGACCTCTTCACCAACGTAACCATAGATGACACATTGCAAATTCTCCGCCGTCGCATCACTGAAACTCCTCTTGAAACTAGCCTATCCACAGAATCTATCATCGCCCTCACTACCGCCTGTATCTCCTCTACCTACTTCACCTGGGGGGGGGGGGGGGGGGGGGGGGGGGACGAGTACTACCAACAGATACACGGGCTACCTATGAGATCCCCACTCTACCCACGTTGTGACAGTATTATCCTTCTGTTGTCATTACCTACTCATGTTATCCCATTCATGTATGTATTGTTGTTACTGTTAATCCTCAACTGTTAATCCGCTACCTACTATATATATTCTGTACAACGTTCCTAATTCCCAACACTACAGACCACCCTAAATCGTAAAACCGCACTTAAACTAGAATCAATCCTAAATCCACAAAATAAATTAGAAAAATGCAAAGCCTAAGGCTAAAACCTGATTAAAACAGGACTAATTAGTCGCATTTAAACCCCAAATAAAATATTACAACCAAACCTACCTAATCTAACAACTACCCAACACAGACAGCTCCCTTAGTTCGTCCTCCACCCACTCTTGGCATTCATTCTAAATCTCAAAATTTCAAAATTACTATATACTCACTTTTCCCCTTTCGGAAACACATTAAATGGCCTGACCGGGCCCGTGTACGACATACGCTTGCAGTCGGAAAGCGCACGTTAAATCTCCAAGCGTAAGTAAGTAAGTCCTAATTCAGTCTTGCTTGACAACAGTATAAGGATCTATACCGAAACATCGCCTTTACAGTATTGAAGAAGTTGTTATCTATAAATTGGGTCTACTTCGTCAACTGCAGAATGCTCGTCAATTTAGGGAAACATTTATTTGACTGAAGACATTGTGCGTCAATTGTTTGTCCATCGGAACAAATTTATGTTTTTTATACTTGATTTGTATTTAATTCAGTTCAAACATATTTCGTAAGATATATATACCGCAAAAGTATGTATTAGTGCAATCCTCCTTTCACAATTTTAATATTCTATTATCAACATCAATATGAATGTAAACACCATCAAACACTTGGCGATTGCAAGAATCGTATAAGTTTAGTTCCAGATTTATAAGCTTGTAGTTAACTTTCATTGCATGACAGGACACATCTCGATTTCAATCCCTTGATATCGAGCTGAATAGTTGATTAAATACGATAACAGTTTCACCTTCTTATCGCCACATGATGTATGTTCTAAGGGACTCATCCCATAGCACAGGTTTCCACCTCCAAAACAGTACTGAACCCGGCACATCGAGTCAAAATTGTTTCCATTTTCGTAAGGTGAGACAGCCTGGAATTGTAGAGAACAAACCAACCATCAAGGAATGGTTATGTAAACCAAAACGTAAAAACGGACCGTTTATGTACACAAATGCATTATACCAGTTTCAAGAGCTGAAGGCCGAAACAACTTAGTTTATTATTTAGGAAGTGACTTGAATAGTCTAAAAACATCAATAATCCATATACCATATCTGTTATCCATGGTGTTTTATTCCACCCATTCGTTACAACCAAAAGAAATACCAAAATATTCAAGGTGTAAAAGTTAAGGTGATAAATCATTTACCTTCTTTGGGAAATAGTTCATGACGTTTATTTTCACACCATTTGTTCAATTGTGATAATAAAGTGATCGATGTTTGCTGTGACACCTGTTTGCTGTTTACCTACCCTGCAAAACCTCGACTGAGGTCCCCGTAGTGCTACACACTGCTGATCGCTATTACTCGTTTGACCTGCGCGTCGTCCGTCCGTTGAAAGAATAGAACCGGATATGGAGGTGTTGAGAGCACAAGCGCTTCTGGAGGGAAAACAGAATGAAACACATTTACTGTTACATTTACATTTGTTAAAACAATGTCAAAACAAGTGAATATGAAACTTTAGCTTCAATGTATATCGGTGATCTGATGTTGTTTAATATTGACCAAATAGCCAATTCTCTTCAACAAATTACCAACCTAGACTAGATATACATTAGACCAGTGAGACTTGTTTCCTATTTAGATCTATGCATAAAGATTCAAAGTGACATATAAATCTCTCTTCCCATGACTGTATGCAAAATGAGATGACTTCAACTTTCCAAAAGTCAACGAGGCATGCTCTTCTCCGAAGATGTCGAAGAACGCCATCAAAGAACGCCTCTTCCATAAAGGTGTTTTATCAAGGTTACAACATGCAAAGCCCCAGTAAAGCTTTCATTTGTTTATGCTTGACAAGTGTACATTTCCAAATTTCACCCATCAGTGACAGAAATTATGTCTGATGCAATTTCTTATTTTGACCATGTGTTCCCGTGTGTTTTTCCAGTTGAATAATTGACTTGACTTTTTATGTGTTTGTGACGGGTGCCACTGATGGGACAGGAAACGATCCCCTTTTCGCACGTATTATCCCCACCCTGTGGGGAATTTCTCGCATTTTTGTGCTATCATACCAGAACAAAGAGTAATTAATAGATAGCATTTACGCCATTTTAAAGACATATGAATGCTTTGCAATTGGTTATCCCATGGGTGATATGAATGCATATATCAGACATGGCTGTATTTAAGTGATACTGTTCAGTACCTATCAGGCATGACAATATCCATAGAGGAAGGATATGGCCTACTTGCTATGCCTTATCTCAAAAGCTTATATGCAGCATGCTAAACACCCCTCCGAAACCATGTGTGATCTTGTTAAAACACCTTGAAGTATCAAAGTCACTGACCACACCTCAACTCCTCAGTTCTCTCATTTTACATATATCATTTCCCTCTAGAATTAACCATCCTCATAAACCCCCTCTCTCCACCCTCAATCCCCCACCCCCAAACCCCCTCTCTACATCATACCGAGCAAGGATAAAACGTCCCGCCTTCAAATTCGTCAATAATCGACAAGAGTTTACTTACTGAGCAGTAGATAGAGTAGTCTTTAAAGTCTCCACAGAACATGACGAGAAGGTCCAGAGATTAGACGGAGCGAGAGGAGAGGGGAGTCGTAATACACTAGTAGCTGACATTACAAAGCGGTCGGTGTCGTTGCAGCCAATGTCGGAGTCATGTCGTAAACCCAAGCTGAAACAGCAAGAACCAAAAAAGAGTCAAAATATATGCCATTGTTAGGAATTGTCGAAGTGATATATGTATATAAAAGTGTAAGACGTTAGATTATATTTTACTGTTGAATACCAATGCTAGGCCGACAGTATTTTTTTATTCCCGAACGAATAATTAAGGTCATATTACTCGCCCTCTAAGAACACTTCCCACACAGTAGGGGGATATTCCTTTTAGGGTAGAAACACTCACATGTGTCCAAGTTCATGAGCAGCAAGTGCCCCAACAGAACCACCAAGGATGTTTTGGGTAATGCTCACAGGGATGTTTGTGCACAGAGTATCAAGGGTGGCAACACCTAGAGCAGAAACAACAAACATAAAACACCGTCTAGCACTGTGTTGTACAAGGAGAATATAATTTTTAGAATACATCTGACGCGATACGTTGAGTATCCCCAGGGTTTTCGATATCTATAAGATACCAATAAGTATTACAATTATAGTCTCATCACAGGAGACACCTGGAACACAGTATTTAGATTCTATCACATGCAGCATCAGTTACAGTTCAGGATACAGTTCAGATCGGAATACAATACTCTGGTCTCACCACTTGCGGTTCCTCAATATATTATCATCACAGCAGAAGAAAAAGACGAAGAAGACAGAGAAGGAGAAGAACACAGAGAAGAAGAAATAGAAAAAGAAGAAATATTCACTAAATCCAAGCTCCTGAATCCAACTGACTCACCTATGACGGAAATTCCAGGAAATGTCAAGTCATACCTGTAACAAGAAATGTAAAATCAATGATGAGGAACATTTGAATATTACACAAACTTACGTCATTGTCTTCTGCAACATGAAATTTTAGTTGTGGAAAGTTTCTTCGACAAACTTCAGTTGCATTTCCTGTCTCGGGGGCATGGGTGTCCCAGGGGAATCTTCTGTGGAGTGGCGCCCCTGAGTCCAAGATCGCGCGTAGGAATCCCAGATTAGCCGGCAGTTTATTATCCTTGGCCTCTCAATACTAAACACAAGTTTGCTTATCACGTGACCTTAATATTCAAGGGAAACATAATATTAAGGAAGTACGCCCAAAGACCGATCTGGGCTGATACCCTCAGATGGATACATGTTCACCAATGGCGTATCATTGATAAAAGCCACATGGACTAGAAGTCACATCCACCACGTCCTTTACATGCATAACACACATATACAACGCATTTACATGAAGCTTACCTTGTGAAGATCATATAGGCGTCGGCTGACATAGGGGCGTTATCAGAAAGGAATTGTACATGCTTTACGAGAGCCGATTGAGCGGGTACAACGCTTCCGTTCTTTGTGGTCTCGGTCCAAGGAGACCCAGCGGCGGACTTGAGACACGAAAGAACAAATTGTTAACTAACCTTCTTCGTTGTAGAAGTGTTATCACAATAAAACCTCCCCCAAGTGGTAGTAGTAGTCGAAGTAGTATTAGTAGTAGTAGTAGTTGTGTAGTAGTAGTAGTAGTAGTAGTAGTAGTAGTAGTAGTAGTAGTAGTAGTAGTGGTAGTAGTAGTGGTAGTAGTAGTAGTGGTAGTAGTGGTAGTAGTGGTAGTAGTAGTAGTACAGTAAACTACGGTTATAACGAACTCAAAGGGACTACTAAATTTAGTTCGTTATAACCCTAGTTCGTTATAAGTACATATACAGCATGACTACAGCAAGTAGTCGGGACCAAAAGGTAAGTTCGTTATATCCGTCAGTTCGTTATAAGCGTGTTCGTTATAACCGTAGTTTACTGTGGAAGTAGTAGCATTGCCATTGTTTCTGCCATTGCCTCAGCTTCAGATAAACACGCTGTGTGATCACAATAATGATAGTTGTTATTCAGGGAATACACAAAGTGTGCATAACACTAATGCCTGTATGGTGAATAAAGTAAAGGATAGTAGAGCATGTTTGTGCTTAAACATAAAGTATACATGATAAATATCGATTCCACCGATACTATGTAGATCGTTTTATGATGTTCTTGTAACATGTTTATGACACATACAGTATCGAAGAACATATTTATGAATGATAAGTTACTTTTAGATCGTCTTAATGTCACATGCAATATCTGTAAAACATATATATATATATATATATATATATATATATATATATATATATATATATATATATATATATATATAGATATCATAGAGTATATGTAGAAAGTGTTTATGATACATACAGTATATGTAGAACGAATTTATGATACGTACTAGAGGTAACCTTGAGGCATTTTTGGCTATTGCGATACTATTGCGATAGTTAAAAGAACTATTGCGATACTATTGCGATAGCGGCCCTACTATTGCGATAGTTTTCACTTGCAATTATAGCAGGCTTTAGCAGCATATATTTCAGCATTTTGACTGACACCATCAAAATAATTATAACTTTCTGATACTATTTGTAAAGAAAACAAGAAATGAAAAGAAAACAAGTTCAAATTGACATTTCAAAAACATGAAAAAAATCTTTAACTCCATGTAAGTGGTTAAGTCTTAGGTTACTTCAGTGTTTTAGCACCAATGTGAATGAATGTGATTGAATGACTAGTATTTGACTATACAAACTGTTAAACTCTTTAATTGTTTTTTTAAGAAAGTAAATGTTCCAAACAAATTAACAATCGAAACTATCGATTGTTTCAAGTTGCAATCGATAGTGTACTATCGTGAGACAAGCAATCGCAATCAATTGATAGTTCGATGTATCGTTACACCACTAATACATACAATGCATGTATAACGTGTTTATGAACCATACAGTATGTGTACAACGTGTTTGTGATCAAAAAGGAAGTACGGTTCATTTCTTCACACTGCTCTTGATATATGCCAAAGCCAAAATTGGAGCTGATCTTACCTGGTGGCAGGATTATTGGTACTCTATATCGGACAGTAATTGCAGAACAAGTACACCATAAACACAGTAACTGTGGAACACGTACATGTTAAACACGGTAACGGTCGAACACGTACTTGATAAACCCAGTAACTGTGGAACACGTATATGATAAACACAGTAACTGTGGAACACGTATATGATAAACACAGTAACTGTGGAACACGTATATGATAAACACAGTAACTGTGGAACACGTATATGATAAACACGATAACTGTGGAACACGTATATGATAAACCCAGTAACTGTGGAACACGTATATGATAAACCCAGTAACTGTGGAACACGTATATGATAAACCCAGTAACTGTGGAACACGTATATGATAAACACGATAACTGTGGAACACGTATATGATAAACACAGTAACTGTGGAACACGTACATGATAAACACAGTGACTGTGGAACACGTACATGATAAACACAGTAACTGTGGTACACGTACATGATAAACACAGTAACTGTGGAACACGTATATGATAAACACAGTAACGTTGGAAGACGTACATGATAAACACGATAACTGTGGAACACGTACATGATAAACACAGTAACTGTGGAACACGTATATGATAAACCCAGTAATTGTGGAACACGTATATGATAAACACGATAACTGTGGAACACGTACTTGATAAACACAGTAACGTTGGAAGACGTACATGATAAACACAGTAACTGTGGAACACGTACATGATAAACACAGTAACTGTGGTACACGTACATGATAAACACAGTAACTGTGGAACACGTATATGATAAACACAGTGACTGTGGAACACGTATATGATAAACACAGTAACTGTGGAACACGTATATGATAAACACAGTGACTGTGGAACACGTATATGATAAACACAGTAACTGTGGAACACGTATATGATAAACACAGTAACTGTGGATCACGTATATGATAAACACAGTAACTGTGCAACACGTACAAGATAAACACAGTGACTGTGGAACAAGTATATAATAAACACAGTAACTGTGGAACACGTACATGATAAACACAGTAACTGTGCAACACGTATATGATACACACAGTAACTGTGGAACACGTATATGATAAACACAGTAACTGTGGAACACGTATATGATAAACACAGTAACTGTGGAACACTTTATGTGTAATCACAGTAACTGTGGAACACGTATATGATAAACACAGTAACTGTGGAAAACGTATAGCATACATACACGTGTATGCTGAAGTCAGAAAATGTAGAAAACGTACATGATAGAAACATACATAGCAACTTAGAACACGTGTATGATCATACATACATGTACATGATAATCCAAACAATGACAGAGACTGGTGGTCCCCTTGCTTACTATGGCAATGTTCAGGTACTTTATCCAGACAGTGACAGAGACAGGTGGTTCCCTTGCTTACTATGGCAATGTTCAGGTACTTTATCCAGACAGTGACAGAGACAGGTGGTTCCCTTGCTTACTATGGCAATGTTCATGTACTTTATCCAGACAGTAACAGAGACAGGTGGTTCCCTTGCTTACTATGGCAATGTTCATGTACTTTATCCAGACACTGACAGAGACAGGTGGTTCCCTTGCTTACTATGGCAATGTTCATGTACTTTATCCAGACAGTGATAGAGAGAGAAGGGTTCCCTTGTTTACTGTGGTAATGTTTATGTTCCTCGTTCGTACAATGAATTACCCCAACAATGGGTTTACGCTGTTTTCAGTAATATTCTAGCAATATCACGGCGGGGAACACCAGTTATGGACTTTACACATTTCACTCATGTGGGGAGTCCAACCCCGGTCTTCGGCGCGACGAGCGAACGCTGTAACCACTAGTTTACCCCACTTTCCCCACCCAAAAGGTGATAGAGATATAAGTGTTCCCTTGCTTACTGTTGCAATGTTGATGTACTTTATCCAGACAGTGATAGAGATATAAGTGTTCCCTTGCTTACTGTTGCAATGTTGATGTACTTTATCCAGATAGTGATAGAGATATAAGTGTTCCCTTGCTTACTGTTGCAATGTTGATGTACTTTATCCAGATAGTGATAGAGATATAAGTGTTCCCTTGCTTACTGTTGCAATGTTGATGTACTTTATCCAGATAGTGATAGAGATATAAGTGTTCCCTTGCTTACTGTTGCAATGTTGATGTACTTTATCCAGATAGTGATAGAGATATAAGTGTTCCCTTGCTTACTGTTGCAATGTTGATGTACTTTATCCAGATAGTGATAGAGATATAAGTGTTCCCTTGCTTACTGTTGCAATGTTGATGTACTTTATCCAGATAGTGATAGAGATATAAGTGTTCCCTTGCTTACTGTTGCAATGTTGATGTACTTTATCCAGATAGTGATAGAGATCGAATGATCCTGTCTGTTCACTGTGTCATATCGAATCTGCATCTGTAATATCAAGCCATGTTTAATGAATTAAAGTTAGAGACTTAAAGATAAAAAGTGAATAAATAGAGGCGATAAAACCCATTCATATTCATAAGCCAAAGTCGATTGTAAACTTACGACTACATCATCTTCATGTGTATATGAATCAGTATTAAATAGAGATGATAGCAGGTGAGCGTATCTTGCACAACCTTTCGCGCCATTCTCGAGCACATACAAAGGCAAGTCGTTAACAAACACGGGAACAAATTAAAGTCAAAATAGGGAATTTAATTTTTGTCAATGATTTGACATTTGAAAAAGTCCTCCACATGTCTAATGTAGCTTTTAATAAAGCTTGTTATTAACGTGTAGTACTATGTTGTAGTTTTTAATGTACTGGAAAATACTGAACTGAATTACACATTTAAATACTAATACATGGACGTTATGGAAACTAATGTGACACTTCAGTTGAGTACATTGTGACACATTGATATCGTATAGCACGTAGACGTGATATTATGACAATACTGTTTTACCATTTCCTCCACGAAGGCGTAGTACAATCTCATGTTGGAGATGGTGGCGGTCGTGTTGCCCTCGGCGGAAGCAAGGAAGCTGCAATAATGGACACGTGTTAGAATATCTGGAAATACAATTATCATGTCTGCATAACATAGGTTCTCTTATACTGTATGTACGGAATCTGTAAATGAGTTGCACAGTAACTATGTGTACGTCATATATGTACAGCTTCCGTGGTTTAGTGGATAGAGCATCGATTCCCGGCCACGCCATACCAAAAACGTTAAGCAATTTTACTTTTTGTTTAGTGCTGTGCATAAGGGGAAACACACACGCTTTCACACACGCACACGCACACGCACACGCACACACAAACACACACACACACACACACACACAGGTGCTGAACGTTTGACGTCTTTGAACACACATGT